GTCCGCAAGCTGTTTTCCTGGCTTATGCTTTCAGCAAGCGGCCTTGCTGGGGCTTGTGATCCTGAACTCGAGGCTCTGAAAGGCACTTGACTTATAATTTAATTGGTATCTTCAGGTGGAAGTCTTCCTGGTGGAGTGGGGGTGTATAGCGTGACCAGACATTGTAGTTTTGCCTTCCTTAGGAACTACTCTTTGTGGTGAAGGGGGAGATGGTCATAGCTGCGTTCATGGTCCAACGTGGAGGCTCCTTTCTGGCTGCCGCCTGCTGACTTAGGGAGTGAGGGACTCAGCAGAGACATTTTAGTGACTGAGGGCCAAGGCAATGCGTAGATCTTTTAAATCTTTGTGATTTCTGTCCCTCGTATTGATTCAGCTGTACCCAGGCTTCTCTTTTTCTTCTGCTGCCCTCAGGTCCAACTTCATGTCATTGCTGTTTCTGCCCTCTCTTTTAAATGATCTTGCTCTCAGTTTTGAAAATCACACGCTTGCACTCAGCTATTGAATTGGGTCTTAGAAGCTGCTGGTGTTTCCGTAAGTGGGCAGCAGAGCGTTTAAAATATCGACCTAAAGTTCACGAGACTCATTTTGAATTGGTGTTAGTTTTAATTTGTCATTCTGACCTTGTGCATCTGAAGCATCATGAGTCAGTGTCTTTTCAAAGGCTGGGGAATGTCCAGAAGAGAGAGCACTTCCCAGCAGCCAGAGGAACAAGCTGAAGGTTCCGTGCTTTATTTTAGACTTGGTGCCACTTTGCTCTGACAAACACAGTGTCATGGGACTTTGAAGAGAGGTGTTTCAAATCATAACCACAAGCAAGGCATTGACCTCCCTAGCTAAGATTTGCAAAGTGGGGGGTTGGATTTATTTTTTTTTTCTCCTAGTGGTTTTATCACTCTTGGGGAATGCTGAGAATTGTGTTTCCTTGCAGCGGTAGTGCAGGCTTTTCGGGACCTGGTTTGGCTGTGTCCTCAGTGCACGGATGCCGTGTGTCGAGCACTGCCTAGCTGTGAGGACGCCATCCAGGACAGTGAGGTAAGGTGGCTTTGTGCCTTGGGCTGGCAGCTGTGGAGGAGAGGTGGGTAATGACTGTTTGGCTTTCCTTTGGCTCGCCATTGGCAGGCGAAGATCAGGAATCTTCAGAAGACTTGTTCTCTCCTATCTGTTTGTTCATGTCAGCACTGTCTTTCTGGTACACAGCACCTATTTGCTATTTTTTGTGTGGTTCCTTCAGGGCAAGCAAGCGCTGATCTGGCTCCTGGGTGCACATGGTGACAAAGTACCGAATGCCCCCTATGTTTTAGAGGACTTTGTGGAGAACGTGAAATCAGAGATGTTCCCAGCAGTGAAGATGGAGCTTCTGACAGCGTTGGTGCGACTTTTCCTGTCTCGTCCTGCTGAGTGTCAGGACATGCTGGGGAGACTGCTCTATTACTGCATAGGTGGGTTCCCTTCACTCTGTTTCACTGAAGCTGTAGTACGGGCTTTTTGGGACCTGGTTTGGCTGTGTCCCCAGTGCACGGGTGCTGCATGTCAGCATCCTAGCTGTGTGGAGGCCATGCAGGATGGCAGGGTGAGGTGGCTTTATGCCTTAGGCTGCTGCTTGGCCCCCAGCTGTCTGGTTGGTGAGTGTAGTGGGCTTGCGCTGTATCCCTGGGGATCTGTTTTTAGTAATTAAGGGTTAGTACTTTGGGGAAGTCTGGATGATAGAATTCTTTGTCAATTACGTCCCTCTGATTCCCAGAGGAGGAGATGGATATGGCAGTACGAGACCGTGGATTGTTCTACTATCGCCTTTTGCAGTCTGGTGTGGAAGAAGTGAAACGGGTCCTGTGTAGCCCCAAGTCTGACCCCTCTCTGGGGCTCCTGGAAGACCAAACTGAGCGACCTGTGAATACGTGGGCTTCAGAGTTTAATACTCTTGCTCCAGTTTATGGCAGAGAACGCTGGGCACTCGTCACTGCTCACCAGCCAGCAGAACCCTCTTACACTTGTTCTCCTTGTACTGACTCCAGGAGCAGAGACACAGGTAACCTGCCTCACCTTCACCTGGGATCCGTTTTCCCCTTGTCAGTAGATGTTCTCACTTGGGTTTCTTTGGAAGATCACGGTGCTTCAGGAGTGCTGTGTTAGTGTTCTGACTATCTTGTGCGATGCACGGCTGATCACTGCTGAAAGCACTGTGATTCCAGCCCTCTTCGTCTGATGTCTCCATGAGATGTTCTTGGCGAAATTGGGAGCTGCATCTTGCATGTCTGTGGTTTCGTTTCAGAGTCACTGATTTCTGAAGGGAATCAAGAAGTCCTCAAGGTTCATCCCGATACAGGCAGCCTGACCTTAATTCCTGATGTTTACCTGACTGCAGAACAGTTTGAGAAGACCTGGCTGAGCTTGGACACGAGCTGTCACCTCTCTCTGCCCTGGTCTGGGACTGTTGATCCGGATACCGTACAGACGGCTCTTCATGTTGTCCACATCCAAACTATTGCTATGAGCAAAGCGGGCGTCCAGCCATGGAAAGCTTATCTCAGTGCTCAGGATGACACTGGTTGTCTCTTCCTAGCAGAGCTCTTGCTTGAGGCAGCGGGTTCGGAGATGCAGGTTTCAGTGAAGCAGAGTGAGGCAAAGCCAGAGGCCTTGCAAACCTTTATTTCGGTGTTAAGGACAGTCATGGGGGCAGTTGCTGGACTGGAGTCCTGATTGTTCCCTGCTCCCAGTGGGATACTGGCACAGGAAAAGTTTCTTTCTCTGGTTTCATTTGCCATACTTGATGCAGGTTTTGTACTTGTAAACTGTGGGAGTGTTAGCAGCCTTTTCCTGGAGCAGGGCTGGGCCCAGCGAGCCCATGTGGTGTGGGGGTACGGGGCTGCTGCAGCTGGTGAGTGGGGCAGGGTGAAGGGTCTGTCCTCCCCCTGGCTGGGGAAAGGGCAAGGGGATGCGTTCATGAGCTCGCTGCTGGGGTGAGTCACGGGAGTGGTGGCATCTCTGGTGATTGTCACAAGACGCTAACGTGACTGGGGGAACCAGAAATGAGCAAAATGTATTTTGGAGAGTTTTCATGAGAATTGTAAATCATTCAAAAAACAGTTCAGGGGCTCCGGGACTCTGCTACTTGCCTCACGTTAGGGGGAATGGTGCTTTGAAGAGAGAAGTGTTGAGTTCTTGGCTCCCTTTACAGGGGATGCAGTTTTCTCTCTGATAGATGGATTTCAATAGCAGAGCCCCGTGCACCCGTACGTGAGGCTGCTGTGTCAGATGGGTGGGCAGCGTACGTCGTGCTCACTGGAAACAGCAGGGTTCTTTTTCAAGAGAAAGTGCGTTTTCTAGATGAAATATGTTACTGTACTGATGAGTCTCCCTCTCTGAAATTCCCCCTCAAGGCTGCGGTAGGAAGGCGCAGGAGCGTGCATGTTGTGTAGGATGCGCCTGTGTGAGTTAATTCGGCGTTTGATAAGAGTTTTGTAGCCCACATCCCTGTGGCCGTGTCAGTGAGCTGTCAGCTCTTGGTACTCACACCAATAGTGGAAGAATTGCTGCTCAGATAATTAACCTATATGGAGTATTAAATTCTTTACCATTCGTTACTTGGGAACTAGAATGGATATTTAAAAGTTTGTTTTATTTCTGCGCAGCGCTGCGGTCCTGTCCCCGCAGTACAGCACGTGAGGCTGCAGTGCTCCCTGGCTGAACTCTCACCGTTCTCGAAGTTACGCTCCGGCCAGCCTTGGGACTTGTGTCGGCAGCGCCTCATCTGCTCTGCTGAACGTTACGGAGAGCTGGACTTTGTACGGTGTCCTGAAGTGTCCTTGTCACAGCCATGTTTTACAGTGGCAAAACCCCGAGGAAGGCTTGAGGTTGAGGTGCGTAGGTGGCTGTAACAGGGCTTTGTGCTGCTCTGTAAGAAGTAGCTTTGTTAACCATTCTGTAAGATTTCTTGTAATCTTTAATTTCTTTTATTGCCTGTATTGTACCTTTAAATGGCAGTATGCCTTCTGTGCACCCACTGAAACACTGCTGTCACTGCTAAACAACAGGGTTGGGATTTTATTGCTGAGTTTCCTAATAAAAATGTGAATTGTTCCTGGCTGTTTTCTGGGTTACTTGTTCATTCAACTATGAAGTCTGCGGGATGGAGTCATCCGATCGCTATCATGGATCCGGGGAGAGCTGCACTCTAGCCCCTGCCCCTCGGTCAGGCAGGGATTTTCTCTCTCAACTTCCTTGAAGCAAGGCTTTAAGGAACAAGTGTGCAACAATTTATTTCAGTCTCGTATGCCAAATTAGTGCAGCAGGTGAGCTACCTACAGGTGGATTCAGAGGTAGAGAAGAGGTCGGCTGTAGCAGGGCTCCTATTAACAGTTTCCAGTGCCTTTATGCGTATGTTGTGTCTCTGTCCTTATGGAGAGCTGTATTGGAGCTTTGGAAAAATAGTTGATGGATAGCTTGTTGGCAAGCTCTCATTTACCCCGCTGTGGCTAGACCGAGTCTAGTCTTTGTCTGGGATGGGACTTGGAGTTCCTAGCCTTTTATCCAGGCACCTTTCTTGATGAGTGAGCAGTCTTCAATAACTTGTAAATACTTAATTTCAGTTGATCTTAACAAGAGTCGATTCTGAAACTGAACCACACCCATAGCTTGAATGACGACTGTTAACACAGCAAACATTGGCATGTCATGTGTGCTGTGCCGGGGAGGAGTCCGGGGCCATACTCTTCCCAGAAGGAAGAACCTGTGCAGCTCTGGGAAGGGGAAGCCAAAATCCAGAGGCAAAGCTCACCTGCAAAGGTGGTGCCCCTGCCGCTGCAGCGGGGCGACAGGCCGAGATGGCGACCTTCGAGGAGCAGACAGCGTGCGTGGTGGAAGCCTTGTTCTCTGACCTCACTGGAGATAATGAGACCGAGTGCCGGAGCCTGGAGACAGACTCGGGAGGTAGGGCCTGTGTAGGAGGGGAAAACGGGTCGTTTGCTGCAGATGAGAGGATCACTTGAAGGAAGGAGGCTGCAGCTTGGGGTTGTTGGGTTTCCTAAAATGCGGGCTTGTAATGACTTCCAAGCTATCTCTGGGGGAAAAGTTGGAGCAGGTGAAGTTGTTTGAATCCCAGGCAGCCCACAGCTGCAGCCTTGCCTTGGCAGGGCTGGGCAGCGGGGGCTGCGAAGCACGGGCACCCCGCTTTCCACCCCGGGGGCTGCGGGTGCTGGCAGCGGGCCGTGCCGGCAGGGAAGGTGCTGCTGGCTGCTGTGCCCCGCACAGGTCCCCAGGTCTTGAGTAACTTGCTCCAAACCAAAGGGCTGGGACAAGTTGTAACTGTCGTTAGCAAAAAGAAAGCTCATGTTGCTTAGTGGACAAGCGCAGTTGCTTTAACGTGTCAGGCAGAATGTGGTCTTTGCTCCGCAAAGCTCCTGGTGCCATTTGAGCTACTTCGGATTGCTGGGCAATGGTGCAAGAAACCCAGAATTTCGCCTGTATTCTTATCGCTTTTGCCATTATTTCCTTGGCAACAAACCAGTTAAAGTGTCGCCAGAGGCACTGGGACCTTGCTGATGCCAGATAGCAAGCAAAGTCCATTTCTCAAAAGCTTGATGGAAGTTGGTCGTTTTGCCTAAGGAAAAAGTCTCGGTTTAGCTTATTACTGATTCCCTGTCCGGGGTTAAATGTTGGTGCCTCTGCCTCTGCCCTGAGCGCTGGGGACGAAGGCTTCTGCCCAGGGCTGCTGGCACCCAGACTAGATGAGCTAAACTGGAATTAGCGGCTGGATGAGGGAGGGGGGTTGGATCAGGAAGCCATGCCTCCGGATGAAGTTGCCCGCCGCTTTGTGTCGAAAGATCCTGCTTTCAGTTCCTTACAACTTTGTCAAGTTGTGGAACTTGACAAGTGGAAATGGTTTTGCTGAAACTTTCCGTGTTGCGTAGCTCATTCAGGCTGAACCTTATTTTGGTAATATTCAGAAAAAATAAATAACACTGTTGTTGTTTATCCCCTCGGGATGCTTTAAGTGGAAAATGCTTTAACTGAGGCGCTCCCCCTCCCACCTTTAGCTGAGAAGTTCTAATGGTTTTATATACTTGAAATTTGTGAAGTATGCCTCTTGCTCCTTTGTGAAAACCTTCCCAAATTTGGGTCACTATGAGACTGTGGGATGTTGCAATTTGCACTTGCTCGGGAGGACATTGGGTATAAGACCCAAATTCTTGGAAGGCTGCATGCGATGATCTGTAGCCTCGAACTGCCGGGGAATGCAGGCAGGACTTTGCTTTCCCGTCGGTGCTGCGGTGTCTCTGCGGTCAGAAGAGAGGGACGAGATGTTTGAATCCTCTGACCTGGCTCGCTGATGGCAGCCGGGGAGCAAGGAGCTGCCAGAACACGCAGGGGTGAAAGGGAGGCCTTAGGGATGCCCTTGGGGAAATAGGGGTGGGGATGAACTGAGCCCTGGGCATGGAGGAGAGACCTGGACAAACCCGTGGTACAGAGCCCCTCGGTCCCTGCAGCTCAGTGAATACTCGAGTGGCTGTACGATATTTCCTAGGGACTTTGGTTTTACGCTGTGTCTTGTCAGAGGTCTGCCCCGCGTTAACCTCCCGGCTTGGGGCAGCGGATCGAAGGCAGCATCCTGGACGCAGGGGCAGCCGCGTGTGACCTCCGCCTTCGGCGCCGAGAGCGCTCACCCTGCTCCCCCCGCCCTAGAGCCCGTGCTGTCTGCGGGAGAGCCTCCAGCCAGCTTCGACCCGGTCGTGATCGCCAGTCGCCTGCGGCGGATGGGGGACCAGTGCAACATGGATTTTGAAAGGGTCTCCTCGGAAGCTCTCGCCGAGGTGCTGAGGGGGAAGGTAAAGCGCGCCTCGTCCCGCCCGGCCTGGGCAGCTCCCTGTCCCTAGGCCAGCCTGGCGCTGGGGAGCAGCACAGCTTACACTGGGGGTGTCGGGGGTGCGAGGGGAAGGGGGGCGATGCCCCGCAGCCTCCCTTCGTTTCTGTGTCGCGGGCGGCACACAAGCCACCAGGACAGAAGCCAGACGAGGTGCTGTGGGAGCTGCTTTTGCCCCTCCTCAACCCCGTAAGAGCTGCTTTTCATCACCCGAGAAGCCCCGGCGCTGCCTGGGCCAGCCTGTGGCTGGGGGGGGGGC